CCGTCACCACTCCCGAGCAGACAGTTCAGAAAGCCAAAGGGGAGACTGCGTATCTGCCCTGCAAGTTCAGCCTCAGCCCTGAGGACCAAGGACCACTGGACATTGAGTGGCTGCGGCTTTCAGGACCTGATAATGAGAAGGTGGACCGTGTGGTGAGTGTGTGCCTGCTCACTGTCACTAAGCAGAGGTCACATTGCACATTGTGCTCATCACTCAGAGAGGGACATGGATCTGGAAGCCCCAGTGCCCAGGCTTGTGATCCTTATAGAGTGACACGGATAGTAAGTGACCCAAGATTGCAGAAGAGGAAAGGTTCATCAAAGTTCTTCAAGGCTTCAGGGGACAAGAGAATGTTGTGAAAGTTCTGAAACTCTGGCCTTGAAAGTGTGTGACAGGAGGCAAGGAGCAGTAGAGGGTGGACTGAGTAGGCCGGGCAGCCAGGGGAGTGTGCGCAGTGTGTGTGGACGGGAGTCACTGGACTCGCTGAGGGGGCAGAATGTATGTCCTCTATCTGTCTCTCGTCTCCTTTCATTGCACTGTGTTGTCCAGTCTGGCCTCAAACTCCAAAGGCCCAAGCCATCCTCCTGCCTCAGCCTCCCCTCCTCACTAGCTAGGCTGCAAGTGTGCGTCATGGTACCTGGCCCTCCTAGGACTCTGAGATCCGTATGAGGATCCTGTAGCCACCGAAGTATCAGCAGATGTCCACAGTATAATGTGGTTACATTCTCACCGTGTAGCTTCCTTACTTCAAGTTAAATCTCCCGTAAAACAGATTTCTTAAAAAGCAAAACCAAAGCTGAGCATGGCGGTACCTGCCTGTAATCCTAGTATTTGCTAAGCTGTGCCAGGAGGATTGAGAGTTTGAGGCCAGCTGGATTACATAGCAAATTCCAGGCCAGCCTGATTGGCGTGGTGAGATGCCATGACAAACAAAGGAGCAGAGATTGAAAACTCTAAATATTCACGTTAAGTGAAAGAAGTCATTTGAAGATATTGGTGTAGACGTTTTTCTAATCAAAGTGAGTCAAATGCGGAAGACGAAATTGGCACCAAGGAGGGGACACTGCAGGGACCCCCTCCAAGTCCACGTGTCTCCCTCTGCCTTTCACGGGGTTCTTCAGTCATTTCCCTCGTTTACAAGGCTGCATCCTAGATTCATCTGACACATTTAATTTTTATTTGTAGTTTATTTACTTTTCGTTTCATTGGTTTTTGAGGCAGGGTCTCCCTGTAGCCCCAGCTGGCCTGGAGCTCACTATGTAGACCAGGCTGGCCTCAATCTCACAGAGACCTGCCTGCCTCTGCCTCCTCAATACTTGGACTAAAGGCGTGTGCCACAACACCTGGCTATATTTAATTTTTTTAAAAAAATATTTTATTTATTATTTTTATGTGTATGCATGTATTGCCTGCGTGTAGGTGAGTGCACCTGTGTTGTGCAATGCCTGTGAGGACAGAAGAGGCTATCGGATCCCCTAGGAACTGGAGTTACGGACAGTTGTTAGCTGCCATGTGGGTGCTGGGATTCGAGCCTGGGTCTTCTTCAAGAACAACCAGTGCTCTTAACCGCTGAGCCATCTCTCCAGCCCTACATTTAATATTCTTAAAATCAATAATGGGTTGGCAAGATGGCTCAGGGGATAAAAGTGCTTGCTTCACAAGCCTGCGGACCCAAATTCAAATCCCCAGTACCCACGTGAAAGGCCAAATGTGGCTACATATGCATGTAACTTTAGCATTGTGGGTGCAGAGATAGATGGACCACTGGGGTTTGTTGATTTCCAGCCAAGTTCCAGGTTCTGTGAGAGACTGACTCACTCAAAGGAATAGGGTGGGGAGGTCGGGAGTGAAAGAACAGGAAACTCAGTGTCTTCCTATGGTCTCCATGGGTACACAGGAGCTTAGAACCACAAATGCAACAGCAACGACACACAAATATACAAATACATACATACACATATATACATATGTGTGTGTGTGTGTGTATTGGTTTTTTGAGACAGAGTTTGCCTGTAGCCCCAGCTGGTATGGAACTCACTTACATAGATCAAGTTGGCCTTGGACTCATAGAGATCCAATTGCCTCTGCCTCCTGAGTGGTGGGATTAAAGGCAAGTCACCATGCCCAAATGGCTAAGAATATTTTTAAGGAAAAAAATCAATGTTAATAAATTATATTAGACCAAGGAGAGAAAATATGGTAATATATATGCAGGCACATCTGGAGCAGTTGTTCTTTGGTTTGTGCTTTGAACAGGGTCTCATAATGTAGCCCAGGCTGGCCTGGGACTCACAGAGACCCACATGCCTCCTCAGTGCTGGGACGGTAGAGAAGATTTAATTTTACTTTTTGTCCATATAGAAAGAATGATTTAAAAGATAAAAGGGACTAGAGCGGTGGCTCAGCTCAGTGGTTAAGAGCATATCCTGTTCTTATAGGGGACCTAAGTTTTGTTCCTAGCACCCACGTAGTGGGAGGCTTAAAACTGTCTGTAACTGAAACTCCAGGGCATCGCACACCGTCTTCTGACTTCGTGTGAAACTGCACTCATGTACATCCACACCCACAAAAATACACAAATACACATCATCTTCCAGTTAAGGATTAAGTCAGTGCAGTCAGGCAACCAATGTTCCAGCAAGTCCATTCTGTTTCCCAGGCTGTCTCCCTAGATAGCTAAGGTGCCTTCCCTAGTTGTGAATGACGTGGCCACCCCCACCCAGAGCATACTTCCTCCTGATCCTACTACCCCAACTCCCTGCTTTGTCCCTAAGCAGAAGAACCAGGCCTGAGTCCTTCTGTCTACTCAGCCACCTCCCTGTCCTACTCCTGCCCAGTCTTTCCTTCCCTGTGCTCTGTGCAGAGCCAGCCCCTCAGGCCCAGCTTCCACCCCAGGTCCTGTGTCTCCTGTTCTCCCTGCCAGGGCCAACCATCCAGCGCCTCCAGGACTGATCTGGTGTGTGAGGGCTGGGTGTGTGAGGGCTGGGTGTGTGAGGGCTGTGTGTGTGTGTGAGGGCTGTGTGTGTGAGGGCTGTGTGTGTGAGGGTTGTGTGTGTGAGGGCTGTGTGTGTGTGTGAGGGCTGTGTGTGTGTGTGATGGGTGTGTGAGGGTTGTGTGTGTGAGTGCTGTGTGTGTGAGGGCTGTGTGTGTGAGGGCTGGGTGTGTGAGGGTTGTGTGTGTGAGTGCTGTGTGTGTGAGGGCTGTGTGTGTGAGGGCTGGGTGTGTGAGGGTTGTGTGTGTGAGTGCTGTGTGTGTGAGGGCTGTGTGTGTGAGGGCTGGGTGTGTGAGGGTTGTGTGTGTGAGTGCTGTGTGTGTGAGGGCTGTGTGTGTGAGGGCTGGGTGTGTGAGGGTTGTGTGTGTGAGTGCTGTGTGTGTGAGGGCTGTGTGTGTGAGGGCTGGGTGTGTGAGGGTTGTGTGTGTGAGTGCTGTGTGTGTGAGGGCTGTGTGTGTGAGGGCTGGGTGTGTGAGGGTTGTGTGTGTGAGTGCTGTGTGTGTGAGGGCTGTGTGTGTGAGGGTTGTGTGTGTGAAGGCTGTGTGTGTGAGGGCTGTGTGTGTGAGGGCTGGGTGTGTGAGGGTTGTGTGTGTGAGTGCTGTGTGTGTGAGGGCTGTGTGTGTGAGGGTTGTGTGTGTGAAGGCTGTGTGTGTGAGGGCTGTGTGTGTGAGGGCTGGGTGTGTGAGGGTTGTGTGTGTGAGTGCTGTGTGTGTGAGGGCTGTGTGTGTGAGGGTTGTGTGTGTGAAGGCTGTGTGTGTGAGGGCTGTGTGTGTGAGGGCTGGGTGTATGAGGTCTGGGTGTGTGTGTGTGTGTGTGAGGGCTGTGTGTGTGAGGGCTGTGTGTGTGAGGGCTGGGTGTGTGAGTGCTGGGTGTGTGAGTGCTGTGTGTGTGAGGGCTGGGTGTGTGAAGGCTGTGTGTGTGAGGGCTGGGTGTGTGAGGGCTGGGGGTGTGAGGGCTGTGTGTGTGAGGACTGGGTGTGTGAGGGCTGGGTGTGTGAGGGCTGGGGGTGTGAGGGCTGTGTGTGTGAGGACTGGGTGTGTGAGGGCTGGGTGTGTGAGGGCTGGGGGTGTGAGGGCTGTGTGTGTGAGGACTGGGTGTGTGAGGGCTGGGTGTGTGAGGGCTGGGGGTGTGAGGGCTGTGTGTGTGAGGACTGGGTGTGTGAGGGCTGGGTGTGTGAGGGCTGGGGGTGTGAGGGCTGTGTGTGTGAGGACTGGGTGTGTGAGGGCTGGGTGTGTGAGGGCTGGGGGTGTGAGGGCTGTGTGTGTGAGGACTGGGTGTGTGAGGGCTGGGTGTGTGAGGGCTGGGGGTGTGAGGGCTGTGTGTGTGAGGACTGGGTGTGTGAGGGCTGGGTGTGTGAGGGCTGGGGGTGTGAGGGCTGTGTGTGTGAGGACTGGGTGTGTGAGGGCTGGGTGTGTGAGGGCTGGGGGTGTGAGGGCTGTGTGTGTGAGGACTGGGTGTGTGAGGGCTGGGTGTGTGAGGGCTGGGGGTGTGAGGGCTGTGTGTGTGAGGACTGGGTGTGTGAGGGCTGGGTGTGTGAGGGCTGGGGGTGTGAGGGCTGTGTGTGTGAGGACTGGGTGTGTGAGGGCTGGGTGTGTGAGGGCTGGGGGTGTGAGGGCTGTGTGTGTGAGGACTGGGTGTGTGAGGGCTGGGTGTGTGAGGGCTGGGGGTGTGAGGGCTGTGTGTGTGAGGACTGGGTGTGTGAGGGCTGGGTGTGTGAGGGCTGGGGGTGTGAGGGCTGTGTGTGTGAGGACTGGGTGTGTGAGGGCTGGGTGTGGGAGAGCGCGGTGTGTGTGGGGGCTGGGTGGGTGAGGGCTGTGTGTGTGAGGGCGGGGTGTGTGAGGGCTGTGTGTGTGAGTGCTGGGTGTGTGAGGGCTGTGTGTGTGAGGACTGTGTGTGTGAGGACTGTGTGTGTGAGTGCTGGGTGTGTGAGGACTGTGTGTGTGAGTGCTGGGTGTGTGAGGGCTGTGTGTGTGAGTGCTGGGTGTGTGAAGGCTGGGTGGACATGGATGAAGAGCATGTGGCATCTTCAAGGCTCTGGCCTGAGACTCAGGAGCCGAGTGCAGATGGTGTTGGGGGAAAATGGCACAAATGGAGCAGCAGCTGGCGCTGACAGAGCATGCCAGCTGTGGACCCTACCTTCTGCTCTTAGCATCCTAGAGATCTAAACAGGAGAGCTTCAGCGTGTGGGCGAGGAGTCAGCGTGCTAGGGGAGGACATAGCTCAGGAGAGGACCCAGGCCCTCCACTCAGAAGTTCCTACGCAATCAACTTGGAGAGAAGATTCTCAGATGACACTTACTCTGTTTATACTGGAAATAGTTATCATCAAAATTAAAAGATTATTTGTAAGATATCAAATATGATGGTGTTTCTAATATTTGAGTTGGGCTCTAAGAGTGTTTGGTCTCATATGTCTAAAATGAAGGATTTCATTAACAATGTGAAAAATTGGGACCAGAGAGACAGGTCAGCAGTTAAGAGCACTGACTGCTCTTGCAGAGGACCTGGGTTCAGTTCCCAGCATCCACATAGCAGCTAACAACCATCTGTAACTCCAGTTCCAGGGGATCCAAGGCCGCCTTCTGACCTCCATGGGCACTGCACAACACGGATGCACTATACTCATACACAATAAAATAAAAATAATAAAATAGAATTAAAATTGTGAAAAACTATAAGATCTATTAAACCAATTTTAGAGATTTTTTTAAGGTGACTATTACAATTCTTTTCTGTGTCAAATTTAAAGCAGATTCTGCTCACCTTTTAAGTCTGTTTTCAGCTATTACCCTCAAAGCCTGTAGCAGAGGCTCAGAAAAACTTAGTGGAATTAAGCTTTAGCTATAGAAGGTTTGGGGCAGGGTTTTTATTAATTTGAAACAATTGCCTCAGACAGTTATTTTAGTATTTTTTGTTGTTGCTGTTTGTTTGTCTGTTTTTATTTTGAGACATGGCTTACTATGTAGCCCTGGCTGGCCTTGAACTCACTAAATAGACCAGGCTGGCTTCAATTTCACAGAGATCCACTTGCCTCTGACTCCTGAATGCTGGGATTAAAGGCATGTGTCATCATGCCCAGTTTATTTCACTATTTTTATTAGTGTTTAGAAACTGTGTCTAAACAGTATTTTTTTTTCTTTTCTTTTTTTTTTTTTTTTTTTGGTCTTTTTGAGACAGGGTCTCCCTGTAGCCCCAGCTGTCCTGGAATTCACTATGTAGACCAGGCTGGCCTTGAACTCACAGAGATCCACCTGCCTCTGCCTCCTGAGTGCTGGGATTAAAGGTGTGCACCACCACGCCCGGTATTCTAAACAGTGTTTTTATTTTTATTTTCATTTTTAGTTTATTGCGACAATGTTTCAAAGTGTAGCACAAGTTGGCCTAAAACTAGCTGTGTGGCCCAGATTGGCCTTGAGCTTAAGATCACCAGGCCTCAGCCTCCCTAGTTACTGGAATTAACAGGTATGTCCGTTAATGCCTGGCTTCCAATTTTCCACTGAGAAAAAAAGCAATTAAAAGCAATTGTCTTTTTTGTTTGCTCCCACAGGTTAATTACAATAAGCCTTCCCCAGGACAAAAGGGAGGTGTGTTCTGATTTTGTACTTGGTTTTCTACTGCAGCCTTTGAGGCAGCTAGTGTTCTAGCTTGTTTCTCCACTGCTGTGACAAAAACACTCTGACCAATACCAACTTGGGGAGGAAAGGGTTTATTCAGTTTCCATCTCCCAGGTCACAGTTCATCAGGGAGTCCAAGGTTGGAACTCAGGGCAGGAACCATGGTGGCAGGAGCTGGAGCACAGGCCACGGCGGAACGCTGCTTACTGGCTTGCTCCCTGGCTCCTGCTCAGCCTGCTTTCTTGTACAACACAGGCCCACCTGCCCAGAGGTGGCAGCACCCACAGTGGGCTGGGCCCTCCCACATCACACAACAATCAAGAAGATGCCCCACAGACATGGCCACAGGCCAGTCTATGGAGGAAATTCTGAAATTGAGGCTCCCTCAACCCAGGTGTGTCAAGTGGACAGCAAAGCTATGCGGCACAGCTAGAAAATGAGAGTGTGGCAGTGAACAAAGGGGCTCTTGTCCTGTCTCACCAGACCATTCTCTAGCATTGGGTTGTATTATTTATTCATGTTGAACCTTGATTCTCCATTTAAAATGGGAGTGTGGCTCTACCCAGGATCACTCTGAGCCTTTTCTCCTTCCTCATTCTGTGTTTCGAATAATTGTAGTTTCCCCCAATGTGTTCTCCCCCCGCCCCGGATTCCTTTCTCCCTCCTTCCCTTCCCGTCTTTCTTAATGTTTTGCTTGCTTGCTTTCTTAATTTCTTTTTTACTTTTATTTGATTCTATGGTAGCATGGTATATACAGAGCTGGGTTTTTTTGGTTTTTTGGTTTTGTTTTCTGTTTTAGCTAGTTTTTTCTTCTGGCTTTCTTTCAGATTATTTTATATTCTGTAGACAAGATCTACTATGACTTCTATCAAGATCTGAAAGGACGAGTACATTTCACAAGTGACGATATCAAGTCTGGAGATGCCTCGATCTCCATAACAGATGTGCAGTTATCAGACACTGGCACCTCTCAGTGCAGAGTGAGAAAAGCCCCCGGTGTTGCCAAAAGTAACCTGCAGTTGACAGTTTTCAGTAAGTTACTGTTGTTGGTGACTTGTTTGCAGTGACCGGTGAATGGGTACCGTGCCATAGTATCAGCATTTATGTAAAACAAACCTTGGATTTTGTGTAATTATTTTATTTGTTTTCACTGTGCTAAGGATGAAACCCAGGCCTCATGCTTGCCAGGAAAGGACTCCAGCACTGAGCTGCGCCCCTGGCCCCAGAGTAATCATTTTAAACTTTGAAGTATTTTTGATGTTCTCAGATAGCTTAAGACATAAAGCTAGACTTTCTTGCATAGGAAAAATAAGTGACTAACTTCTTTTCAAAACTCATAAAGAATTTAGAGTAAGTGAAGAGTTTGTTGAGTGACAAAGACCTGTGAGCCAGGAGTCAGGAGAGCTGTTTTGTTGCTGCTCTCGTTTTTGCTATTTTTAACCTTGTCTTCTGAATGTGCCCTGAGAGTTAAACAAATTTCATTTTCTTGGGCCTCAGCCTATCTTATGTTTACTGACGCATAATATATTAAAAGGTTTACTTATCATTATACCTATCAGATTTCATTCGGTTCAAAGTTGTTTATGGTCTGAGTAGAAGCTCTGAGCTTTTACTTTCACGGTCCAAAGAATCAATGAGATTTCTGTGGTGAGGAACTGGAGTGTCAGGATGAAGCAGATGGAATGTGCTAGAATGAATAATGGACTGGAGAAGGCTAGTGCTCATCAGGTAGTGATGGAACGTCCCCACCATCACCGCCTCTCATTCTCAACATGGGAATGAGGCAGTTGCTAGGAAGACCTTCTGCTCTCCAGATGGCTGAGAGGACAGGTGCACACTGCCTGCCATCGTCAAAGCCTTCAGTTTTGATTCTTTCTATGGATTCTGTGATAATTAGCCCAGTCTCAATCCCTTCAAGTTTAGAGAGTCTGAAAGGTTTTAGTTCATAGTATGCACCCAACATCAACATCTTATTCTGGCAGAATTTATATAGACAGTGACTGTATAAATGGGACCAAAATCCCTGTTCTGTGACCTAAAGTGTCATGTTTTGGGAGACTCTTGGGGACCTGTTTTTGGTCAGAATTTCTGAATGTCTGGCATAACCTTGGAAGTGACTAATCAGGGCAACCTCCCTCACTGACCACCCCCTGCCTCAACATACCACCTATTCACTGATCTTTTATAGAAGCACCTAGAGTAAGGTAGGAAGTGTTAATGTGGGGGTCAGAGTTGTTCTGCGCAATGGTCCACTCCAGAGCAAGAATATAAGCACACAGAGCAACAGGAAGGGGAACACTGGCATGTCAGGTTCTGCTGGCAGCACTGCGGAGTGTAGACTCTGGTCAACAGTACTGTGGCCCGAGTTGAGCCCGTTAAGAATGTGTGAAACAAGTGGCACCAAACACGCAACTGCGATGTCAATCATGATCTCCCTCCTCCAAACACATCTTGACACCCGTAGGAAATGCAATCATATTTCTCTCCTTCATGTGTTACTATTTGGACTTTGTTTTTCTTTCTTTTTTTTTTTAATTGCTGTGCATGGGGGTGTACACTTTTGGTTCCAGCAATTGGGAAGCAGAAGCAAGCAGATCTCTGTGAGATCATGGCTAGCCTGGTCTATGTAGAGAGTTCCAGGTCAGCTGGGGGCTAGAGGGACACCTTGTCTCAAAAAAAAAAAAAAAAAAAAAAAAAAAAAAAACAAACAAAACCCCCTAGAAGCAAGCAAGCAAATGACCCTCTCAGTTTTTTAATTACTATTTTTATTTTACATGTACAAGTGTTTACCTGCCTGTATGTAAGTACACCCCTGTCGTGCAATGCCCATGGAGGCCAGAGGGCATCAGGTTCCTTGGAACTGCAGTTGCAGATAGTTGTTAGATGCCATGTGGGTGCTGGGAATGGAACACAGGTCCTCTGCAAGAGCAGCCAGTGCTTCTAACTACTGAGCATCAATCCAGCCCTGTCTCCCAATTTTTATTTCATTTAAGTCGTGTATGTGTGAGTTATATGTGTGTGTGCACCATGACACATGTGGAGATTACAGGACAATTACAGGACAGTAGTATGTCCCAGGGATTGAACTCAGAATACCAAGTTGGCGGCAAGTGCCTTTGCCACTGAGTTGTCTTTCCATTCCTACTTATACCAATGATATATATGCTCTTTAAAATTTTTTTGATTTGAGAAATTCATACAATGTATTCTGATCATATTCAGACCCCTTCCTCCTCTTCACCCCACCTTACTACCTACCCCAACCTCATGTCCTCTATTTGTCTTTCTTTCTCTTTCTCCTTCCTTCCTTCCTTCCTTCCTTCCTTCCTTCCTTCCTTTCTTTCTTTCTTTCTTTCTTTCTTGCCTGGAACTCACTATTTAGACCATGCTGGCCTCGAAGATCCGCCTGCCTCTGCCTCCCAAGTGCTGGGATTAAAGACACGTGACACCATGCCTGTCCAGTCTTTTTTTTTTAAAGGTCTATCGAATCTAATGTGTTTCCCAAGTGCTCTTGGGTGTGGATCTACTACCCCTTTGGAGTCTGGTCAACCTACCAGGTATCACACCAGTAAGGAAAACTAACTTTCCCTTTCCCAATATCTATCAATTGCCAATAGATTCTCAACTATGGCTGGAACTTCTTGCCCAGCTCCCCATCCATGCTGGGCTCCTGTTGGCTTTGGATTGCACACGTCTTATGCATGCTGTCATAAGTGCTGTGGGTTCATAGGTGCAACTACCCTGTGGTGTTCAAATAGTTTCCCTGTATTCACCTACCACCTCTCACTCTTAAGATTTTCCCACCCCCTCTCCCACAAAGATCCCTGAGACTTGGGGGAAAGTAGTATGGCATCGCTGTTCCATTTGGGCTGAGGACTCCACAGTCTCTCGCTCTCTGCACCCTGACCAGCTGTGGGTCTCTGTGCTAATAGCCATCTGCTGCAAGAAGCAGCTTCTCTGGTGAAAGTTGAGAGACACGTTAATCAAGCTGGGGAAGCTGCAGGTCTGGGATGCGCACACAGCTGAGATCCTGAGAGCTGGGATGGCATGGCATACACTCTTAACTGCACTGTTGATTTTTGTTGTTTTCATTGTTTGAGAGGGGTCTGGCTCTGGCTGGCCTTGACCTTGACTCCTTCTGCCTCAGCCTTCCAAGTCTTGGGATTACAGGTCTGTACTACCACTTCTGGTTTGCAGTGTTGATTTTTAAAACATTTGCTTCTTTCTTTCTTTCTTTCTTTCTTTCTTTCTTTCTTTCTTTCTTTCTTTCTTTCTTTCTTTCTTTCTTTCTTTCTTTTTCTTTCTCTCTCTTCTTTCTTTCTCTTTCTTTTTCTTCTCTCTCTCTCTCTCTCCCTCCCTCCCCCTCTCTCTCTCCTTTCTTTTTATCTGTCTTTTTGAGACAGGGTCTCACTTGTAGCCCCAGCTGGCCTGGAACTCAATATGTAGACCAGGCTGGCCTTGGCCTTGAACTCACAGAGATCTGCCTGCCTTTGCCTCCTGAGTGCTGAAACTAAAAGCATGGGCCCCACCATATATTTTATTTTCAATTAACACATATACATTGTACATATTATGCATGGTTAATTTTCTAAAAAATGTTGCTTTTCTTCAGACTGATCATTTGGTATGGAGATTACATCAGTTGGACTTTTAATTACATTCTGCAAATTATTTCATCTTGTGAGTCTTCAATGAGCCTGTGTTCCTCCATTTCTTCAAACTATAAATCTTTTGTTAGAATAGAACAATGTGCGGTCATTTTCCTTTGTTAGTTTTCCCCATATTCTAGGGTTAAAGATCCCAGAAAGATTGTCTCAGAGATAGAGATTAAATTTTCTGGATATCAGTTTATAAAAGCAAATATGATTTGTATTTTGAGCTTTGGAAAAAAATCAAATAAGCAACATCCCTCTAAAGCATTGCTTTCATGAGATTTCTTTGCTTGCTGGATGTGATACACACTGAGAAACACCACAAACAATAGCAGTTTGCCTAAATCTCACTCTTGTTGTGTTACGTAGTTGGTATGGCAGTGGCTCTCAAGTGTCACCTCCTACAGTCCAGTATCTGAAACTCCTCCCCAGAAATACTGAAGATTTCACATCAAGTTGTCCATTTTATTTTTTGACCTGTATATATATATATGTATGTGTGTGTGTGTGTGTGTGTGTGTGGTGCGCGTATGTATGTTTGTGTGTGTGTGTGTGTGGTGAGTGTATGTATGTTTGTGTGTGTGTGTGGTGAGTGTATGTATGTTTGTGTGTGTGTGTGTGTGGTGCACGTATGTATGTTTGTGTGTGTGTGTGTGGTATGTGTATGTATGTTTGTGTGTGTGTGTGGTGAGTGTATGTATGTTGTGTGTGTGTGTGTGGTGAGCGTATGTATGTTGTGTGTGTGTGTGGTACGTGTATGTATGTTTGTGTGTGTGTGTGGTGAGTGTATGTATGTTTGTGTGTGTGTGTGTGTCTATGTGGTGAGTGTATGTGTGTTTGTGTGTGTGTGGTATGTGTATGTATGTTTGTGTGTGTGTGTGTGTGTGGTGAGTGTATGTATGTTTGTGTGTGTGTGTGTGTGTGTGTGTGTGTGTTTAGGCCCAAAGTTGAGGTTGGATGTCTTCTTCCGTCACTCCCGACTTTATTCTGTTGAGGCAGGGCCTCTCAGCTGAACTCAGAGCTCACCAATTGGCTACCTTGGCTAGCCCTAGCTTGCTCTGGGGTTCCCCTCCACTTCCCAAGTACTGGGAATACAGGCAGAGGTCTGGCCTGCTCCCATTTAGGTGGCAGAAGAGGAGCACTCAGCTCTGCCACTGCCAGCTCTTGGGACCACACAACTGATCAACGAGTAGTACTTGAGGCTGCCAAGTCTGCACTGTAATAGAAAAGTAAGAGCTTGGGGATGTCATTAGATGATCCTTTTCATTGACCAGTGGACTAGTTATCTTTCACTTCATACCAGATCACCAACAATCTAGTTTCTTAAAGCAACACATGCTTACCATCTCATAGTTCCTGTGGATCACCCACCATGCTGACTGGAGTGCACTGGGTTTGATCTGTTGAACTAGTGGCCTCAATACCACTAGTTCAACCTGAGGTTCATCTTTAGCTTGTTGCCATGTGGGCCTCCCCCAAATGTCAGTTTACTTCATAAAAACCAGTAAGAGCTGGCGGTGGCAAACACCTGCAATCACAGGGCTGAAGCAGCTGAGGCAGGAGGATCACACTTGAGGGGGACAGTTTCCTTCTGTAAGACTGGTACTCTTGCTCTGGGTGCAGCCTCACCATTGCGGGCAACTGTTCTGATTTCGGGGGGGGGGGGGCCTGTCCTGTGAGGCTGGTTGCTTGGGAGCAGTTTTGTTTCCTTATCATAAACGTGCTTATCCATCAGCCCCACTGTTCCTACTATTCACAGTATCTGTAGAAGAGAGTAACTTGAGGAAAAACGGAAGCAGAGTGGGCCAAAATGGAGTTATTTAGGCCAGTGATGGGGCCTCCTTCAGCTCTGCTAAGGTGGGGCTTTGTTTTTTTAACATCTTTATTAAATTTCCAGAGCATCAATGACAGAGTTCCCATCCCTGTGTGAGCTCTGAGGCCTGTGCTCACAGCTTTGTTCACAGGGTTCCATCTTATGCAAATGCATTTTAGTGCTGAGCTGAGTCTCACGGGGCCTCAATTTCTGGAGTTCAGTTTCTGCATAGCTCCTTCCTCTTTGGGACTCTCACTACATCAATGTGTCTCATACTTCCTGAATTCCAGTTTTTTTCTTCCCTGAGACAGTCAACGTCTGCTGAAACCCTTCTCCCCTCTCCAGGTCCTAGAATACAGTTTAGGAATCTAGGGGGGTCATGGGGCTCACTGGTTGTTCTGTTCTCTCTGGGATCATGACCCTTCACTGACAGTTGTTAGTGTACAATATTGGTGCAATAGTGGCACATTTATCTAGGGGGTAATCAACAGCTATCTAATTAGATTAAAGTCAGCTCAATGGGAGGGAACTCATGTGTGGGACTGTAACCATAGCTAAATAGGTCAAAGATCCTAGAGAAAACCCTACATCTGTCACACCCCTAGACATATAATTTCTGATTGTCTGCTAAATATGGATGCTTATATTTACAGACAAGTGTGCTTCTCACCACTCATCAAAGAAGCTTCTTTTGCAACAGATGAAAACTGTAACAGAGTTCCACAATTGCTCACAAACAGAGGATAAGTGTAAGATGCCCAGCCCCAACGGACACATCTACACCTATAGCTCATGGAAATTAGTGGAAGAAGGGGTACAGAGAATACTCCACTCCCACCAGTGAAGTTTCCTCAGGCAACAGAAGGTGATGAACACAGAAGGCCACAACAGATCAAACTGCAGAATATAAGATACTGTAGAGTATGTGTCCCTGAATAGGACTTCTGTGTTAAACCTCACCCAACCAGGGCTCAAGACCCTTTACAGAAGAGAAGGTAGAAAGACTGTAAGAGTTGGTACATGCCCATGAGGAAACAGAGTTTTCCGGGTTTCTTGGAACTTGCTCAGATGAACTTACCGCAATGGTGACAGCATGCACAAGACAGGATCAGAGAAAAATGCAGCATGAGATGGGCAGGAGGCCCCAACTTTAGTTGAGGAACC